CCCCTTTAATTGGATCAGTAGCTGCTGCAATTTATACAAGTGCTGTTCTGCCCCTTGAGGCAGCTCACTGGGACGCATTCGCAGGCTGGTCTAGGCCTATCAATGGAAAACAATACCAGAACATGCTCCCAGTCCCTGCTATTGTTCTTGTGAGCATACTGGACGGAGTTGCAGATCTGCTGTATAGAGGATTCGGCTCGAGCTGCACCAGATTGGTCCTTGCTTCTGGGATTTCTTTCATGTGCTATATATGAACATGATACATAAAGAAAGTAGTAGTAAGGCAAATATTTGATCTTTGTACATCACATCACGGCTGATGAAATGGGATTCTGTAGGCAGTGTACCCAACCCAACAGTAGAAAAGCTGACTTACAAATGCCAGAAATGCATCAATATTCTCTACGATAACAATATTTGCATTTGGATATCCGAGATCATTACTCAACAGAAAGCAAATGTAACTGAAATAAACAATCAAAAAGAAAGAAACATACTTACTAACAAGAAAGTATCTCCTGAGAAACACTTGATTGATAGAGTAGAGATCTTCTCCTCAAATTCATTTGTTATAACTCCTGCAACTGACTTATTTGTCCTAAGATGCCAGAGGATTCGATAATGCAGAGGGAATTCTTTCCTCCTTCATAAATACATTCTCTTCAGATGGAAATGATTTAGGGGTTACCGCTGGCTACAAGCAACTGTTTGTTGAGAGGATAAAATAAGGACTTGTGATGCAGATTGTATTTTGGAGCTTTTGGCGTAAGAAATAGAGTATGAGAACAGCATATTCTCTGGCTTCAATATTCAGAAGCCTCGCCAACATTGCTGTACATGAAATATATTTCATCTACTGATTTTATGGCTCTTAACTTTTCCAGGTGGTACTAGGGTGGCGAGAAATGAAGGGATATGTATCAGATTTTAGAACATTCTATAAGAAATAAATTAAAATAGAACTCTGAAAATATTCAAATGGAAAATCAGTGTAGAGTTTAGTCTTATTGTAGAGGAAGAATTTATCATGTACTTCATAAATCATTACTCACTTAACTCAAGAGCCATAATTTATTAACTTGCTCCTCAAAATCCCTCGATGCTATATCCATATATGTATTTTCATAAGATGATGTCGTTTTTGAACTAAAATCATTACTCCACAATTGCAATTCAAGCATCACAAATTAAAACAGATGTTAATTGCTGAATCTTCTGTCATCTCAGTCCAGGACTTCAACATTCACTGAGGTATAGTAACCTACAGTATCCTGGACTTCAGAAGAAATTGCCTCAGAATATTATAGCATCCAACTGGTGCTAGGATCCTAGTCAGTCTATTGACCAAAAGTACCATTACTTAACAGTTAATTAAACGAAAGTATAACCCTACAAGTCTTGTCAGTATGTATCCATGGGAACCCTATCAGTGTTAAATTGTATTTACGGATACATAGAAATATAAGCAACAAAATTTAAAAGCAATCTTCACTGCTTCAACTTTCAGCATATTATCATCAAGCCATATATATTCACCAAAAAGGCCAAAGTTGTCAAGCAACAAAACTTCACTTCATCTTACCAGATAGGGTATACTCCTAACAATTCAAACAAACAACTTTTCTAGGTAATCACGCTCACTACAGATGTTCGTTTGTTTGAATAAAAAACAAATTAAAGACGTAACAAATTAATAGGAAAAAAGGAGCTTGCTCTTAACTCTGCTCCTCACCATCTCCAAGTTCCCTCTCTGCCGCAGCCGCCATCAAGTCATCGAATTTTTCACTCTTTCCCAGCAATACCTCAATCTGAAACCAACCAATGAGAGATATTTTATGCCATATAGAGTTTAATAAACAAAATTGTTAGTTTACATAATGTACAGTGCTTTATATCAAGCATAAGTCAATTGTTTTCAGGCGTGCAGCTTATAAATAATCCATACGATGCTAGGCCATAGAGCACGCCACTAGGCTTAATGCATCAACAGTTATGGAAAAACACTAAAGTAGGAAAGGAGGACAAGAAAGAGATTATTTGTTTTTTCTTGCTCCCGCTGCCACATATGCGCACATCAAGCCAACTTTGCTCATTGAAGATGAAACAGCAGTTCAAGCGGGCATTTCAAAATGACAGCATCAAAGACATATTTCTACATACACAGTTACAATTATCGTAAGGGATGTGTCTTCAAAGTCTATTATAGAAGCGGGACCCTGCGGTAGTGATATCCTAATCTCGTGGACAAAGGCCAAATGTTTAGAGATGCCTGCTGCCTGGTGCATTTTATATGATATAATAATTGCACAGCATATACTATACAACAGGGAAAAGAAGATTTCATAACTTACTTTGGCTTTGGAGACGGGGCGCCCTCTGGAGCCATCCTTAACATCAACAGTTGATGTCATAATCTCTGTGAACCATCCATATATAGTTTATGCTTCAGCATCTTATAAACAGCAAAGCCAAAAAAGATTTTCGACTTTAAGAGAAAAGAGTATTTTTTGCTTTTTAGATTAAATTTGCAAGAAGACTCCAAACAACACGAGGAAATACAAGAATCGAAAGACGTACTCTTCTCCACAGCAAACCCATTGCTCTTCAGAATTTCAGCAATTGAGACAACTGTGGCAATAGCTGCAGACGTACACAGATGTCATTAATTAAGCAACAACTATCTACAAATTGCATTGAAGTCTTGACTTGTGCCTATCTTTCAAATCACAATGACACTAATTCTGTAGGAATATAGTAAAAATGTAAAATACTCTTAAAGGGCGACCAACAGTTGGACTATTCCACCAGACACTTAAAGTTAATGTTGTTTACTAGATTTTAAATTGTACAAAACAAAGAGTGTGTTTTATAGCACAAAAGAACAAATTGTCATTATACATAAACAGGATTAAGCTTAACCAACAAATTAGATTTAAAAATAAAAAGAAACAACGGAGGAAGTTTGGAAACGTACCCATCCCAAGAGCAGAAAGTTCCACGTCATTGTACTGCTGCATATACCTCTGCCCAAAACAAGAATTACTCACCAAACACTGTCTAACATAGGGTACAAAACAAAAAGACCAAACAAAAGGTATTAATTTTACCTTGGCAAGATTGACGTAGAAGAACAAGGGTTTCTTGGTGTTAGAAACCTGAATACGATTCTTCTTCTGAAGGTCTCCTCCGCTAATGTTCATATTGTTCACTCCTTCACTTAACTCCTCCATCATCAATTTATTAGCAAAACTTACTTCAAATCTCCCTCTCCCTTTGATTTTAGCACCAAGGTTTTTAACCCCAAGTTTTAATAGGCTTGCAGTCGGCTTTCTCCAAATAAGAAACCTAAGACTACGAAGCTAGCCCACAAGGGGAGAAAGAAAAAAAGACTACTCACTACGTCCTTTTTAGCCCGTGCAAAAAAGAATAACATTTTTTCTTATTTAGAAATAATTTACTTTTATACAAAGATTTATAGTCACACAAAATATATATACCTCATTTTACACCACAAATTCAAAAATCTTGTCTCTTTTCTTAAACTCCGTACTCAGTCAAATGGGTTCACATAAATTGAAACATACGGAATATATGTTATAAATAGTATTTTATTTATGGTGAATGTCTATATTTTAGAGAGATTTTAGGATTTTTTACTTGGTGGCTAAGTCACTTTTTCCCTATAAATAGAGGGTTCTATTCCATTGTAATTTATTCCAAATCAATAAGAATTCTCTCTCTACTTTTCTCTGCTATATTTTTCTTTTTCTCTTATTGTTTTATAACACGTTATGAGTACGAGACTCTAACCAATTGAGTAGAAGCTTTGGGATTGAGCATAATGATTGCCAATTGTTCCATGAACTTCCTTCATGATTAAATTCTGGATTTAAAGTAAGTATTTTACTTTATTTTTCTCTTTTGAATTCTTGAAATTCTATAATTTGATTTTAAATACAAGCAAAGACAATAAATTTTGATTATAACTCTAATAGAGTTTGTAAGAAATTATAACCACCAAAAGTGGTAAAATTTCTATGTCTTACCATGATCAAATTCATGTATGATTGTGAGCACAAGAAGTGGAAAACTGTCCCATTAAATTTGCTTCATTCTCATTCCCTTAAAAGAATATGATAGCAGTATGTGATACGTCTGAAAGAAGACAAAATTATTACCATGAATATATCAATGGATGTGAACGTGGCAATAGACGAAATTATAATCGTCATCATTTGTGGTAATGAGAACAATAAGTATTCTCAAAATAATCTTTTACTATGTGAAAGTAACATTTGTCATCGATTTGACATGAGATTATGTAAAGCACATATAGATGATTATGGTCCATTCATGATGTGAATGTGACAACATATGATTTATGAATACATATTTATTTTTGGAAGAATATGAGCGTGCTAGTGGTAAATACCACACTCGCCTCTAGAAGGAGGTTTGAGAGAAAATAAGAAAATAATGTCATTATTATAGTATAAATGGTCATTGGTCACGTACTTATTGTACGCTAAAATATTTTGGCAATGTGATTATTAAAAGACAACGGTAATGCAAGAAACAGATCTTGCATATAATTTTGACCATAACCATAATGGTATAACTTTCTCTTTAAAAGAGATATTCACCATATGGATGTTGATGAATATCTAGTAGTACAAAATTAATTGAGAGCTCTGGAAGAGCCAATTATTACTATTTTGGAGGAACAAATTGATTAACAATAAGGCATTATGTTGTAGTAAGTCTCAAAGAAACTTATTGAGTTTCTAAAGTATTCGCAAAAGCGATTGGTTATATTGAGACTATAACTAAAGAAAAAATTTAATATCTTATATTACTATAACTTGTAGCGGGTGATATGTATGTGAAAAGCTACCCGCTTTATTCTTCAGTACAAATAAAAGAATGTCACAATAAAGTAGAAGTTTATTGATATAAAAACTCATATCATAATAAACTTGGAGTTTATTCATAATTGCGCATGTCATGATGTAAATCTGAAGTTTACTAATACAGATAATTTTATCAAGCATGGCCTATTGAGAAATCTTGATTTAGATGCGCAAAATAAATGAGAATTAACATGGGTAAGTGTTGAAGAAGATTCTTTATGAATTCTCTTATGTTGCTTGTTCTCGCGATTATTATACCAACTAAAATTGGGATTGAATCCCTTGAATTATGAAATTTATCAAAGGTGAATATGGGCCCATTCAACTGCCATGTAAATCTTATAAAGATGCATCTATGAGATGGTTACATGTGCGATTATTATTAACCCGCAACGTGGTATTTGTGAGGTAACTTGCTCAATAATTTAATTTAGAGCATAATTTCCAGATTTTCTATTCAAGACATTTCATCTTGATAAGTTGATTTACATCACAGCTGGTTTAGCAAAATAATTTATTGAGTGCCTCCACTTAATAGTTAAACTATTGCTTATAAGAACAAAGTTATCTATATTAGTTTGATACACGTTATACACGAAAGTATATTACATTCTCCCCTCACAAGTGGTTCAGGGTCAGGAACCAAATAATTTTATCTTATTATTATTGATGTGCGGTATATATTTTGATTAATACCATAACGCACAAAGATAAGTTTCCAAAGTTGAGGAAGCAAGTTAGTTTTTCTAACATGAGGGGGAGACAGGATAAACAGTTGAGAAGAAGTTACGTAAAATGAATTATCATTTCTACATCTAGATCCTCGAATAAGATAATATGAACTTGAAGTTCATAAAAAAGACAATTCATCTGCAATATATTGCAAAGCATGCAAGATGCATTTGCTGACCCAAAGAAAGTAACTATATTCTAACTAAAAATGCTCCTATTAAGTCCTAGAAGGACAAAGTCTATGGTACGCTTAAAGCATATAGACAAATTAGTTTCAAATAAACTTCTTGAAAAAGAAGATGAGCAAATGATCAAAATGATCATAATAAAGGAGGCAAGTGATCTAGAAGATTACATGACATAACACTTTATAGCCCGACATCGGAGTGTCACTAAGTCATGAACATCTAACAACCAATCTAGAAACAGAGTCTACTACAGTCTGTACCAAATGCCAATACAAGAGAGAAAAGATAATAAGAAAGGAGAAACAAGGATTGCGGATGCCGGCAGCTACCACGTAAGTCTCTGATAATCTGCTCGCGTACGAACTCAGCGACTGCCAAAATCGTACACACCTGGATCTGCACATGAAGTGCAGGGTGTAGCATGAGTACAACCAACTCAGCATGTAACAGAATTAAATAAGGAACTGATAAGCAGTGATAAGCTATAAAAATACAGATCATTTCAAAAGTTTTCAGTAAAGAGTGAACATGCTTTCAAATCCGGTGGTATAAGTCAAATCAGTTTGAGCTCAAGTAAAACAGATATGAATCTTCCAGAAATTTCACAACAACAACAGACAACAACTAAGTGCAACAATAAATAAAAGCAAGTACAGCCTCTCAAGGCAGTAATCACTCAACTCATCTCAACAGCTCATATTCTCGGCTCTCATCCCTCAATACGCACTCTCAATAGGTACCTGCGCTCACTGGGGTGTATAGACTCAAGAGGGGCTCCTTCACCCCAAGCGCTATATTGCTGCGGCGTGCAGCCCGATCCAATATTGTTGCGGTGTGCAACTGTCACACTCCAAAACGAAGGAGCGCGACCGGCATTCAACCGAGTGAACCCGACTGAGCAAGCCTGTCAGATTTCATTCTACCCAACTTCATCTGTGAATAAAGAGGAGATGTACTCCGTTAATCAAATACTGAAAAGATTTCATTAACCGCTTCCATTTCATTCCCATTAACAGCATCATTCAATATTTCCAAAATAGTACGAGTTTATAGATTTAATGAAAAATATGTTGCCAAATACCAACAGTTCTAATCCAATTCCCAACATCAAATACCACCCACAACCTGTCTACGGAGCCTCTAAGTACAACTGGAGAGAAATATGGAAATATTGTCAATAAGGCCTCGGCTATACCTCAACCATAAAGTACATGAGAAACAAAAGATACATGATCTCGAAATGAAGTGGGGCTCACCAAATCAGCTGAAAAGAGTGTACTGCTATCACTGATCAATGACATCTGCTGTAGAACCACCTGCATCCATTAAAGATGCAGCGCCCCCAGCAAAAGGGACGTTAGTACTATCGAATAGCACTAGTATGTATAGCTAGAAAACCTCTTTCAAAATAGAATGCCCATATGATCTATACGTGGAACACATAATATAATGTAATTGAAACAACCTATACAAACAAGGACACGAAAGTGGCACCTATTGTCTGCATTAATAATATGTCTCATTAGACCGTCCTTAGTGTTCACATATCATATTATACACTTATGCATTTCATACACCGTTCATAGTGTTTATTCATACCATACACCTATACTTCCCACACACCATGTACCTATGCGTTTCATAAACCGTCCACAAGATTTCATAACATAATATTCATAGACCGTCCACGGGATTTCATAACACAATATACCTATGCGTTTCATAGACCGTCCACAGGATTTCATAACACAATATACCTATGCGTTTCATAGACCGTCCACAGGATTTCATAACATAATATACCTATGCGTTTCATAGATCGCTCACAGGATTTCATATCACAATGTACCTATGCGTTTCATAGACCGTCCATAGGGTTTCATAACACATTAGAAACAAAAGTACAAATATGTACATCTCATAACCTTTCACACCACATATCACCTAATCCGTACTTTCAACCACTTACAACATTATTATTTCATTGGTTCTCTTGGCCATACATATGATTCTTTATTCATGGCGCAATGGATTTATTTCATATTCTACACTTTCATTTCTTCCCTTGCATAGATCATCATCATAATTATCAACAAGTAGAGTATTCCGGAAATCACAACTTTAAGTTCATTAGTAATGAAGGCTTTAAACACAATTGATTTCTTCCCAATAAATTAAGTAAAATGATTGGGAATCGAAGCACAAATTAAAATCATATACAATTTCCACTCACGAATATGTAAGAACACAAAACACATTGAAAATTACTTACAAAGCATAGCATTAGCTAAAACAGCCACATATGGGCATCACTTGAGTTCATAAACTTTTAGCCGATTATATTGTCGAAGTCAATTTTGGAATAGTTGAGTCAAAGCTCATTTCATAATCTTTCTCACATTATTTCATTTCATTGGCACCATTGGTCACAAGTATAACTTTCACTATTGGCACGTTGGCCACACTTTATATCCCCAATTCACTGATTTCACTTCCAACCATCTTTATAGGTTATCAACAATAAGACATTCCCAATTAAGA